CAATTAATTGACGTCGTAATTTGTCAGAACATCTTCGGTCTCCTGCTAGAAACTCGTTGGAAATTATTCGAAAAGTTTCCAAAATTGCAAAAAAGTTTCACTTTCATATTACTGAGAGGTATAAACTTCAAACGGTTTACCTGGTACCTCAAGCTGTTGACAGGCCGGTGTTGATTGAATAAACCAGGGCATGTAATACCGCTCAGTGAAAGGTAACTGTTAAGCTCAGAAGCTCGAACTACTGCTATGAAATTGCAGATTACCTTGCTAACTTTTCTCCTACCCTCTGAACTGAAATCTAAACACTATGCAAGAGGCTAACACCACATCACGTAAGGAAGCGGAGTCTTCCCATACCCCCCAGGTCCAAGGCTACAACATATGGTCACTTATAGGGGGGGTGGGGTGGGGGAGAAAGAGATTCAAATTTATTTTTCTCCATACATATTATTTTTATTGAGCACCGTCTGCAGTCTTCCGCCCTCATTTTACAAAGTCCCATAATTACTCTGGGGATTGCAGTATAATTTTAGCTCATACTGTGATAACATCACTTGCTTTTAAGGAATTAATTTTTTAAATTAGATTTTGTTTGATTCGTGTATTTAATTGCATCTTTTTATTCCATAAGTCCATGTTCCCAATTTCTAAATAACATCAAATACTTTTGTTCTTTACCTCGATGGCTGTTATATTTTTGTTATATTTTTCTGGCTGAGTATTTTAGTTACTTAGTAATACCATATAATCCTTTGTTACCACACCTCAAGAAATTATTTTGTAAGCATGCACAAGGCTTCACTGTAAGCCTGAATTTTTTTCAACTTGAACTGTCACATTATTTTATACGCACCCAAAGGACAAGGGAATGGTTTAACCCAACCTAGTGCAACGCGCCTCGTTAGTGTCGGATTAGCCCTTAATCCTCTTACCTAGCAACCGCGCTCGACTTATAAATATCCTGATGTGATTATACAACAGTTCACTTGACCTCAGGCCTTGCTCTTGTAAGCTCCTCTTCCCATTAACTGTATAGCTTTAAATATATACTTGGCCTCCGCTCTTCCTTTCGCCTCCGATAATCGTACAGTTAGCTATTCGCCATCTTCATTTTATGGGTGTGATTTCTTTTGTGTTGTTCATGTGCGTGTGTGTGTGCGCGTGTGTGTGTGTATTTGAGTGTGTGTGTGTATGTGTGTGTGTGTGTGTTTGTATGTTGTTCTTGTCTGTTGGTCTGTCTCTTTAAATTGTTGTGTCTTTTTGTAAGTGATTCATGATTGTGTTTTCAGCTCACTCCAATTCCTTTTCAGAGGCGTCCTCAAGAGTTGAAGCGACCCCCCCACCGACCTCGAGAGGAGTATGGATAGAATGCAGACCAGTAAGATATCCAACGGGTAGTACTGACTTTTTTGAATGTGCTGATAATCAGTTTAACAACGACCAGGATTGCACGTCGAATCATGGCACCGACCAAACCTGGAATTTGAAATGTAGATCCTCAAAACGTCCATATGAACAACGTGCCAAAAATGTGATCTGGAAAGCAAGAAAAAAACAATCTATTGTGTCGGTGACATCGATACAACAAATGTTAAGCCCAACTTTACATGCACAAAGAGAAGGCGTCAAGAAAGCACAACAACTGGTAGGTTTCACAACAAAGAAAACAAGAAACCTAAGTCTAAACAGTGCACAAATTTCCGCATGTTTCTAGTGTTTATTAGATTAGAAAATGATTACATCAAACTTTTTTAAGTTTTCAAGCCACGAATAACATTCTGAGAAACTAAAACCCAATTTGCTTTTGTTGGGGTCCGGAACTTAGACCAACCCTCCCCCTGCTAGGTTATATAAAGCACTTTGAGAGATTCTGAAGCTTGAAAAAACTTAAAGCAAATATGGGCTGTAAACGGCATGTTCACTGAACTGTGCTAACAACTAATAGTGGCTAGAAATTGTTTTAGGTGTGTTACATTAAAGGTAACTTTTATCTTGAAAATAGCGTTTAACTTAATTGTTAAAAAAAATAGTAAATTTCACACTGATCTCGGACCAAGGAAAAAGTTATCTTGGGAAACTTTCTTTACAGTCTGAAATGCACCCAGACACAAGGACCAATCACCGTTGGTTGGCCTAATTCAAGTAGTTAGGGAATCGTTTTATTATCATACAGCTATGGCTTATAATAACTATAAATAAACAAAATAGTACAGATATAAAGTTTAGCTAAATCTTTTAAGGCTGAGAAAAATATGTACACTTTTTCTCATATGTATTTCTTCTAAATACTTATCTGTCTTAAGCTTGTTTACAGACGCAGTTTAATACAACTAAGCTTTACATGATGATGTTGATTTTTTACTTTACCATCAGCATCATCAGCATCATCGTCATCATCGTCATCTTCCACATCAGTGGCATTAGAAGTAGCAACACTTATAACAGCATCATCGTCATTAGCATTATCATCGGCAACAGAAAAACTTTCTCCAACATCATCGTCATCAATATTATCATCAGAAACAGTATTAGCACTGATAACCTCGTCGTCAATAGTTTCACCAGCTCCAATGCTGCCACTTAGAACCCCGTCATCAATAGCATCAGTGGCCGCAGCGTTAGCGTCAACATCAGTACCATTACCATCTTCAAAAATCTCATCTGGAAAATCGTTGTCACTAATACCATACTCGTCAGTAACATCATCGACAATGTCATCCCTCCTTATGCCTCAACCATCATCAACATCATCGTCATCACTGTCAAAGAAAATTCAGGAGCTGGTAATTTTTCTTATCTATGTATTGTACATGTAATTAAACTTTTTCCGTTTTTCAAGGGTATGTGTGGTTCATGAACCTCGCTGCAATTTTCTTCATCTTAGGCAAATGATACTATTTCAGAGTTCGGCAGCCTAAATATTACCAGCACCAATTCCTTGCAGGTATGTGGTTTCAACGATTAAATTTAAAATCCATCTTTTAACCTAAATGTATAACGAAAGAGCAGCTAAAATCTTAGTGTCAATTTTTGAAGGTGGTATAAGATATGAGACGTAAACGCAAAAAATATCCACGCAAAGACGATATCTCTTCTACCCATGGTTTCAAAGTAATTAGTACCCAGACTATTTTTGTCAGTGATCTTTTCCTTTTTTCTTTTAATGGTAAAAGCCTTACAGGACCATTTGAAACTTATATATAGACGAAGATTTGATCAAACGAGAATGTCATATGCGGTATGATTGTTTTTTCAATAGTTTTTGCTGTTAAATCGCAAGCGCCCGTAAATGCTGCCCTTGCCAAGTGTCACAATGAATTAATTTACATCTTATTGTGATTAACCTGGGTAACGTTAAAAACCTGAATAATGTGTATTATATGGACGAACAGGAAGCTGCTAATTTGTTTGAAAACTTCACCACCAATTATCAAAACATGACCCTTGGAGAAGGACAGCCTGGAGTAGAAAAGCTCAGCACAGAGTCCATTTTTAAGGTGGCAGTTGCCTTCGAGAAAATTGTTCTTAGCTATGGCAAATACCACTTACGTGGAACAAACCGTTCAAAAAGGATCAGTTACCCTCATCGCAACATGTGTGAGTACATACATGGTTGTCTTTTAAGATTTGTGATAATGACCATTTATTCAGCAACTGATTGAGCGATTGAGAGAGTGAATAACTGGGTAACTTACTAGTCGACTGACTGATTGGCTGGCTGACAGAGTGACTGATCGTCTCTCTGATTTGCTGGGGGATTGAACAACTAACTGATTTGTTGGCGGAAATATAACTGAATGAATTTTGTTTGTTAATTTCGAAAATTTGTCTATTACTGTTATACTAACATAATTTTTTCCATTCTTTCGAAAGTACTTGTTATTAAAAAAGATTACAAACAAACTGCAAGTGACTTCCACTCAGGGAATCACGAATGGCAAGCCTATATCAATATTTCCTCTGGAAATTTTGTGGACAACGGTTTGTATACACCGACGATATATTTTATCGTAAGTAATTCGTCGCTTTTACATACCATCCTTGATAAAACACAATCTTTTGAAATTTCCATTTGCCGACATCTAAGCTACGCATAAGCTCGCTTTGATCTCTTTTAGGATCAGTAATAGTTGTGTGTGTGTACAAGAATCTCCATGATTTAATCCAAACACATTCTAAGAAAACAAGGTATGTGAATGGCTTATATAATTTATATGATGTAATCTAACCTTATCTAGTTAGTACATTTGAGAACATTCAAGGATTCGTTTCAGTTTCTTCCTAATAAGAGAAGGATTTTTATGCCTCGCAAAAATAGTTTCAAAGGGTAATTAGTCTCCAGTCGTACACCCCTCTGTCCGTTTTATCAAAAAACCCCATCGATGAAAAATTGAAATGGTAGAAACGTGCAATGGTCAGTGGACCCCACCATTAAAGCTTACTCAGCCTTACGGATTTCTCCCGTCATTAAGCGATGGACAACCAAGAGTGAACGAGGTAAGGAAAACTGCATGCTTACCTAACGTCAGAATCGAGGTAAGTTCAGTGAAAAGAACCAATATGGGCGTTGAGATCTTACCAAAGTATCAGCATCCTAGTTAGAATTTCCAAAATTTGAGAAGTTTTGACCGAGATATATACCGCCTCCCGGTTAGCTCAATGGATAGAGCGCTGGACTGATGTGCGGGAGGTCGAGGGTTCAAGCTCCGGCCGGACCAACACTCAAGGTCTTAAAATAATTGAGAAGAATATGCTGCCATTCTATAACATCAAGAATGGTTGGATATTCTAGTCTTCTAGGATAGGGACGAATAAATGGAGGTCCCGTCTCCTGCAGGGTTAGGGGTAGGAGACGTTAACTTTGCATGTGGATAAGAAAACCATTGCCTATCATCGGAACAAAAAGTGGTTTCCCACAGATTTCAAAAGTTTTTTTATTTTTTAACAATTTTCCGCACGTAGTTCAAATCGTGAAACTGACATCATTTGTGTACACAAAATGAGCAATCTTTATTAGAATCTCACGCTGTCAAAAATGATTGAATACGAGACATATTCTGGAATACAACAGTTTAATACATTAACTTTCCAAGTGTGATCACAAAGGTAGAGTATCTGGACAAATGTATACACTGTCGTTACGTCAAATATGCCACTACTTGACTAAGCCGAAAAGTGGTACTTTTTAAATTACGATTTCTCCGTACTGGGACAAGACTAGGTATCAGGAGTTACACACACTCAACAATCGTGCATGAGAGCACTATATTTTGTAAAAATATATATGGCTATTATCGCAGGAAAAAAGTAAAGCGAAGTAGAAATGTGTGATTTTCACATACCTGTACGGCGCTGCTTTCAGTAATTTGCATTCGTAATTATCCACAATGAATCACAAAATAATCGCAAATGAGCAGCTTTGTGCACTTTCTAATACTATAGAATGTCTGTTAGTCGGGTTTTATTTTCCGAAGGTCTAAGGATTCCAAGGATTTCTTTCTGGGTGCGAGTCTGTAGGAATTTAGGTCATTCATTGTGAATGACGATTCAGCGGCACCGAGTATTTGTATACTAGCACTGTAATCCCGGTCATTTGTAAGAAATGGAGTAACATTCATCGTAACATTCTTCTCTTTGATAAACAGCCTGTGGCCTCGATTGCATGAGAATCTAGACAGCCGCGGGCCGGGGGTGGGGTAGGGGCAGTCATTGGAGACAACCGCATTCTGTGACCAGCTCTTCTATCTTTGCAACCAAGTCATTTTTTCTGTCCTTCGATGCGTAAGTTATGTCATAATAATCAAGAATTTTTTTGAGAATTGTATTACTGTTTCAGGAGTTTTCGCTCAGTAGCACATTCACAAACATTGAAAGTGTCATAGATAATGAGGTGTTTCAAACCAGTGTGAACATGGATAGAGTTTAGAAGCTCCACTTCATCTTCAAATTCTTTCCATTCAACTCCCACTGCCTCCTCTTCTTCTGAAGGTGTTGAATGTTTTCGAGTGGACGCCAGCCTGGTGAAGAAGCTATCTATCTGGCTTTCTTTAAATTATTCAACACCTTCGGAAGAAGAGGAGGTAGCGGGAGTTGAATGGAAAGAATTTAAAGATGAAGTAGAGCTTCTAAACTCTATCCATGCGCACATTGTTTTGAAACACCTCGTTATCTATGACACTTTCAATGTTTGTGAATATGCTACTGAGCAAAAACTCCTGAAACTGAATAATACAATTCTCAAGGAAATTCTTGATTATTATGACATAACTTACGCATCAAAGGACAGAAAAAATGACTTTGTTGCAAGGATAGAAGAGCTGGTCACAGAATGCGGTTGTCTCCAATGACTGCCCCTACCTCACCCCCGGCCCGCGGCTGTCTAGATTCTCATGCAATCGAGGCCACAGGCTGTTTGTCAAAGAGAAGAATGTTACGATGAATGTTACTCCATTTCTTACAAATGACCGGCAAATTTGGAACAGTCTACAACTTGAATTCGGATGGAGCTGTGTATTTTAGGGGATACTGTTCTCAGCATGGCTTTAAAGTTGGAAGATGGACAGGATTACAGTGCTAGTATACAAATACTCGGTGCCGCTGAATCGTCACTCAGAATGAATGACCTAAATTCCTACAGACTCGCACCCAGAAAGAAATCCTTGGAATCCTTGGAGCTTCGGACAGTAAAACCTGACTTACAGACATTCTACAGTATTAGTAATTGCACTGAGCTGTTCATTTGCGATTATTTTGTGATTCATTGTGGATAATTGCGAATGCAAATTACCGAAAGCAGCGCCGTACAGCTATGTGAAAATCACACATTTCTACTCCACTTTTTTTTTCCTGCGATAATAGCCATGGATATTTTTACAGAATATAGCGTTCTCATGCACGATTGTTGAGTGTGTGTAACTCCTGATGTCTAGTTTTGTCCCAGTACGGAGAAATCGCAATTTAAAAAGTACCACTTTTCGGCTTAGTCAAGTAGTGGCATATTTGACTTAACGCCAGTGTATACATTTATCCAGATACTCTACCTTTGTGATCACACTTGGAAAGTTGATGTATTAAACTGTTGTATTCCAGAATATGTCTCGTATTGAATCATTTTTGACAGCGTGAGATCCTAATAAAGATTGCTCATTTTGTGGACACAAATGATGTCAATTTCACTATTTGAACTACGTGCGGAAAATTGTTAAAAAATAAAAAAAAAATTTGAAATCTGAGGGATACCACTTTTGTTCCGATGATAGGCAATGGTTTCCTTATCCACATGCAAAGTTTAAGGCAAGATTTATTATTGAACCAATTTCGAGTGGTCGGAAGTTACAGAGACACGCTCTTAAAAAAACTAATGTTTACGTGCCATTGGTAAATGAAAGCCGCCAGCTCGTCATTGTCCACGAAATGGGCAGAAAAGTGAGCGTTTTCCTTCACTTTTCAAACAATATCTCATATGCTTTTGTTTTTCTGGTTACTTAGGCGTGTGTTAACTAGGATTATAATGACAGCTATGGATCCCAAACCAGGAAAGTTACAAGAGAATGTAATCTTGAAGTTTAAGAACTTGAAGGTGACAAAAAGGGAAAGTCAAATTCAGTCGATTCAGTTCATATGAGTTTCAGTTTCAGTTTCAGTTACTTTATCATCAGACTCATTTGAACGAGATACAGCTTAAAACTGCTTCTTTCTTCCTTTCAGATCGACACTAGAGAGAAGCATTGCGTGTTCTGGAGTGGCCTCAGCAATAGGTAAAACGGGACAACAACTAACTTCAACACCACCAACAACAATATCACCCAAAAAACCTACCAATTGTTGCTTGCTTTTTTTTCCAAATTTATTGAGTTTTGAATTGCAAGGAGGACTGGTATATCATTGGTCACTCGTTTGTGTTACAGTCCAACTGGTGATAGAAGTCTTGATAAGAAGTATGGTCCGCAACGTCTCAACAACCTGAGCAGAAGTCTGACCGATAAGTGTTTACAAGATATCAGTGAAGGGATTGTGTTTTGAGAGTTTTCTTTCACTTATAGCTTCAAAATACCCTTGGCTCTGAGTGATAGAAACAAAACCCATCGAAGTCAAAAGCCAAACGCGACACGAAAAAGCTGCAAATAGGCTCTGTCGTGAGCAAGTAAATCGATGATGCTTACCGCCTCTGACTTCACAGAT